TGCCTCAGCCTCCCAAATAGCTGGGACTACAGGCACCTGCCACAACACCCAGCTATTTTTTTTTTGTTGTTGTTGTTGTTGTTGTCATTGTTGTTTAGTAGGACTGGGTCAGGTTTGAACTCGCCAGCTCCAGTGTATATAGCTGGTGCCCTAACCACTGAGCATGGCACCAAGCCATCAGGCTGGTCTTGAACTCTTGAGCTCAAGAGATCTTTCTGCGTCTTCCTTCTATGGTGCTAGGATTAAAGGTGTAAACCATGGCACCTGGCCCAAAACACCTATTTGATTATTCTTTCAATAATTTTTTTTTAAGCAAACAAAACATTCCCCCCTCCAGGCGATGTTATGAAGATCTATGAGGTATGGAAGGTGAAGGCTCCTTGGAAAGTAACACCTAGGACAGACGATGGAACACTAATCTTTATTACTTTGGCCTCAGGGGCCCTTCTCCAGGGGGAAGGGAGACACTATACCCCCTCTTTGCCTGCCCTCCACTTGTCTGTCCTGGGTCTTCCCCAAGAAACTTCCCATCTGCTATTTGCTAGTTGAAAATGACGCTAAGTCCTCTCCTGCTTAGAGCCTGTTTCCTCATCTGTAAAGTGTGTGTATGTGTGAGAATTCTCCTAGGTTTCTTCCAGTCCTTCTCTGGGGCCCACAGGGCAGAAGGAGAACTTTGCATCCAACCCCTTTATTTTTCAGAAAAAACAGATTAGAGGGGAAACTGCAAACCAGCCAGAGAGGCTGGCTGGGACAGAGAGGTGTCAAAGGTTTGCATGACAGGGCTGAGAGGGATTTAACCCACCCTTTTAACCTTTAAGGCTCAGCTCCTGGCTGTCATGGAGAAGATAGGGTGGCTAGAAACAGCTCAGATTTCTCCAACCTCAATAGCAAGAGGAGGAGATGGCTGGGGCCATTTGGGTCTGCCCTAACCTCTGCCTATAGCTTGCCACCTCACCCCAGTCACCTGGCTCACTGGGAGTTGGGGCATCTGAGATGGGTTCAAGGAGTACCTGGGTAGAGATCTGGATATGAGTGTCCATGTCCTGGGCACGCCAATGCCACTGACCACTGTCTTCTGAACTGGGAAAGAGGTAGGCAGAAAGGGTAGGGGTCTGCAGGGCAGTTCTGGTGGCAGTTTGTGGAGAGGCAGGCAGAAACATCTGATGTATGGAATAGAAGGTAGCCAAGGCCCAACATGGGAAAAACAGTCCCCAGAACCCCATCTTCTGACTCCCAGTCCAGTGGGGCTTCCAAAGGCATTAATACATAAGTTCCAAGGAAGCTTTCCAGGGTGAGTCCAGGTCAGGAGATTCTGACCCTGTGAGGGAGGGCAGGCAGGAGGCAATGGCTGCTGAGTGCACAATGTGGTCCTGGACTGGGAAAAGACAGTCTTGGCCCCAGACCCCAAAGCAAGGAGCACCACTGTGAGAGGAGCCGCTTCCACTGGGATGGTGGGTGACCCTAGGGGCTAGCACAGAATGGCTAACCGAACCCAGCGTTTGGAGTCCAGTATTTCAGGAGGACTGGCTATAGAGAGAAGGGAATTCGTGGGACCTCAGATCCATCTTATTCAAGGCCACAAGACTGCCCTGGCCTCTGTATGAAGGAGCCTCCTATAGATCACAGCCCTGAACTGTGTATGGCTGAGCGTGCCTTGGAAGCAGCTGAGACCCTGCATAGTCCCTGAGAGAGCCGCCTGCCAGTGTGTTTGTTTAGCTTGAGTTTGGAGCTCAGCCCCAGAGGTTGTAGACTCCCTCCCAAGGGCAGACCCATGGCTCTGGAGGCAGCCACTGAGGTCAAAATGGCATCTTAAATCCTAGCACACTGGGCCAGTCTTAGGGTTGTCCCTGCAATACAGATCCCTAAGAATCAGTACAATCCAGCACAATCTTTTCTTACCTTTGATTATTTCTTAAAATATTCTTGTATAAGTACTAAATTCCAAACCAAGCAAACCCATGAACTGGTTTCTCATTGGCATGGGTTTAAAAGCAGGACAGCTCTGAGAGCAAGTATTAAAGAACTATAACACCCAGCTACAAATTAAGCATCCTCCCACTTGATTTTTTTTTTTTTTTTAATACAGAGTCTCTCTCACCCTGGGTAGTCAGACTAGCTCACAGCAACCTGAAACTTTGGGCTCAAGTGATCCTCTTGGCTCATCCTCCCAAGTAGCTGGGACTACAGGGACCCATCACAATGCCCAATAATTTTTTCTATTTTTAGTAGAGACAAGACTTGCTCTTACTCAGGCTGGTTTCTAACTCCTGAGCTCAAGTGATCTACCCACCTTGGCCTCCCATAGTGCTTGGATTATAGTGCGAGCTACCATGCCCAGCCACCACTTGATCTTTTTTTCAGATTAATTTTGGCTTAATGGCACCTTCCCCACTTTAAAATAAAAAGCTTACAGTGCCCCAATCATTCAAAACCACAGAAGCTCAGATACAACTTTCAAGGGCTATCAAAGATGGTATGATCTTAAACCAAAAATTAGCACACCAAGCAACTCCATGTGGGCTGAACGCTGTGGTCTGTGGTTCTGCAGAATTTAGCTGAAGGCATCCTGGCTCCCAGGAAAAGCGCAGGTGGGTGCTGGAGTGAAGAGCCAAATTCAACTTCCAAGCCCCTAGCTGGGGATCCAGAGGAGGGCAAGGACAACCCTTGCCCCCTCCATTGCTATTGTTGCTCAAGGCCAGCAGTCTTCGTGGTCACCAGCTCAGTTGAGCCCAGCTCTGTAGCTGGCACAGGTACGCTGTGGCCAGGTGGGGTGGTGCCTGGGTCTTCTTCCCTGGGCAGAGGCCAGACAGGAGCTGTGGTATCAATGGTTCCCGGGGACAGGACGATGACATTGTCCAGGGGCTCTGGGGTCGGGGTCAGGATGATGACATTGTCCAGGGGCTCTGGAGTGGGGGAAGAGAAGAGGGAAGGTCAGTATTGGGCCACAGCCTTCCCCACTCCCTGTTCTAGAAGATTCCCTAGAGAGGGCAGCCCATTGGAATAGAGCCCTGCTGTGGGAGGAAGCAGTGATAGGGAGCAGGGACCAGATACGCTGCCCAAGGGGATGGAGTTGGGGCGCAGCCTGGACAGCCTATGGGGATCTGCTCTGAGATCAAGCTCCCACAGACTCCCAGAGTGTAGGACAGACTCCTCCCGGTTCTGTCTCTCGTCTGCCTAGGGAGTAGGAGGGCACTGCGGGCAGTGTGGTGTCCCCACTTTGGCTAGAAGCTTCTCCTTGCTCAGTCCCAGGGCAAACTCTCCTGCTCCCTGTCTACATACTCCTCCCAACAGATTCTCCCCCCCCCCCAAAGGCCGTGTCTCCCCTTAGATGGCCTTACTCCCAGGCCGGGTAACCCGCAGTGTCCCTTGGCTCCCTAGACGGAACTCACCGTGCTGACCTTCATTTGGAGCCTGCGGGGAGGCGGCCCCTCGAAGCCGCCGGTACCTCCAGCTCACCAGGCCCACCAGGGCCAGCGCCAGCGCCAGCGCCAGGCCCAGCAGCGCGGGGGCGCCGAGGAGCAGCCCGGACAGGGGCAGCGCCGCCTCGGAGCCACCCGCGCCCACCGACTCCTGCGGCTGCAGTGCCGTCCCGGGGACCACGCTGCTCAAGCCCGCCGCGGGCGCGGGTGACTGGGAGAAAGGGCGGGAGGCCGCTGGGAGGGACACGCGGGGACGCGGCCGGGCGGAGGGAGGGGAGGCTGAGAGTGGAAGGACAGTGGATGGGGGGACGGGGCGGGGGGAAGTGGGGGTGGAGAGAGAGTCGTAGGCGCGGTCAGGGCCACGCAGCGATCACGGCCCGTCCAGGTCCTGACCAAAAGGCCCCCATCAACCCGCCGCCCCGTGGCTCCTAGGCAGGACCGACTCTGCCCGGGGCTTCTACAGGGTGGGGGCCCAGTAGCAGGACCTGGACCTCCCCTCACCAAGGGCTGCCCGAGGCCACTCTTACCTGGTCTCGCCTCAGGCGTGCGGAAGAGCTCGCAGTCCACACAGAGGCGGAGCAGTGGGTCGAAGCACTGGGCTGGGTAGCAGGACGTGGGGACAGGCCCATCCCTACCCCTCGGCCTCCTGGCCCCTCGCTGCATGGTGCTGATGCCGCCGCACTCCGCAGGGGACTGGGCTCTGAGTCGGGCTCCTGCTCGCCTGCCCCTGGGGAGGAAACTGGGAGGGGCCCCGCACTCTGCCCTGCCCCGCCTGCGGGTGAGACCGCTGGGGTGGGACCACTCTCCACTCTCAGCTAGGCCCCAGACCTCTTTCTCTTTCTCCCTGTGGTTCCTCCATTTGACCACTCAACCATCACCCCCAGACGCCAGCTGTGTGGGCCCTGGGTAGGGACAAGGCTGGGGACAGACCACAGCCTGCTCTTGGGCCACAAAGATGACAAGCCCCTGAAGTCAGGACATAAGACCCCTGGGTGGCCTCCCCTACTCAACCTCACAGGGGCAGCTGGTGGCCCCAAGTTCTCCTACCACCATCTCCCCTAAGCCCACCTGGCTTCTCCTCTGGGGTATCCTCCTGCTTTTCCCAGTCAGAGCTGGTTTGGGATGTCAGACACATCTGAGTGACCACTTTGTACTAGGCCCAGAGCGTCTGCCCAGAGGGAGTCCCCAGAACAGCGCTCACAGCAGGGATGGTGAGAGGTGTTTGACAGGTGGAGGGAGGCTGGAGACTGAGAGAGCATAACCTTGGAGGCCCAGAGTGGAAGACCAGGGAGTGCTGGGGCCAGAGGGCTGGGCAGAGGCCTTGACTGGAGCACCAGGGAGCTTGGACTCTAGGCTGGAGGACACTAGGGAGCCAGGGCTTTGAGCAGGGAGATCCCAGTAGGATCTGCGTGTTACCGAGGAGCCTGTGGCTGGAGTGGAGAGAGGCCCACCCCAACTCCTTTTTCTCCAGGAGTGTGTGTGTCCTGGCCAGCTCACCTCTGTGTCTCACTGAGGCCCCTCCTGTCTGTTTCCCAGGGTTTGGTTCCTCCACCTGAGACATACACACACTCGGGGCTGGGGGAACTCGGAGCACTGAGGAAAGAGCAACTGCCCAGCGACTGGGAGGGAGCTTGGGAGCAGAGTGGGTAGATCTTAGCAGCAGCAAAGGTGGTGGGAAATGCTCCAGGCAGAGGGTCCGGCATGGGCAAAAGGCTGGAGAGGTGAAGGGGTCACATGGAGGTATTCTGGGGGCAGGTATGGCCACCATCTCAGGGGACGTGCCCAGGATGCAGAGGGGTGAGGCCTACAGTGAGAAGCCCTGGGAGGTGTTTGAGTAGGGGGTAGATTCCTTCTGAGTTGTACTCACAAGGGTCCTCTGGCTGTAACAGAGTCAGAGTCTCAATGAGGTAACTAGAGGAGAAGGTGACTGACACTATGGTCCAGGCAGGGCATGACACAGCAGCTAGCCATGGACTGTGGGGAGAGAAGCAGGCCTCTCAGGTTTCTGGCTTGAGAAACCCAAGGACTCTCACAGAACCCCAGTGGGCCAGCCTAGAGTTGCCCTGGCCCCTGCAGCCCCATCCCCTGCCCACGGGCGAGCAACTTTATGGCAGGAAGGTGTAGGCGGTGGGGCAGGTGCAAAGGAGAAGTGGGTCTGAGGTGTGGGTGTGGGTCTGGGTGTGGGTGTATGGTGGGGGGAGCCAGGAGCTTCGAGAGGAGCCAGGACAAGGAGGGCTCTTCTATGGGACAGCAAGGTGGGAGCAGGGCCAGAAGACTAGGCCACAACCCTGCCTCCCATGTCCATTCTTCTGTCCTTATTGATGCTACTGCTGTAACCTGCTGTTTGGGGGGCTGTAGGACCCTGACTGTGTACCAGGCACCTCATTTAGCCCTTGTGCCAGACGGCTAGGCAGGCTGCACCTTGTGGGAACCCAGGAAGAGAGTAGCCCAGTGGGGCCACGTGGGGATAATTTACACAAGCTAAGACAAGGGTCCCCACAAGCCTGCCAGGTCCTCATCTCTCAGCAGATGGTGTGAATCGCTGGCTACTCTGACTTCTGCAGAGACTAGATGTGGCGGTCTTCAGAGTCCCAAGGGAGAACAGAGAGAGGTGTAACAATGAGACAGGGACCTGGCAGGCACTCCCTAGGCCATTGCTTTGGGTACTGCTTTGGGCATTGCTGAACTGTGAGGGAAGTCTCAGAGTTTCAAACTACCCTGACAAAACAAGGTAGAGGAAGGACAAGTTCCAACCAATTAGAATCAAGATGGTGGAGAAATTGACCACCTCTTTGAGCTTGCAGCTTCATTATATACCTCATTACTATAAGTTTCTAAGAAAACCACCCACTCCTATCATGCACCTGGTGCCATGACACTTCTTGTTTGACCATATTTAGTCAAAAGGTGGGTGTCACCTTAATTCTAGGGAAACACTGCCCCCTTCTAAGAAATAATATGGACATTCCTCCCCTTGTGTAGCCTATAATCAATCTGCTGCTGGGGTGCGGTGGCTCATGCCTGTAATCCTAACACTCTGGGAGGCTGAGGTGGGTGGATCCCTTGAGTTCAGGAGTTAGAGACCAGCCTGAGCAAGAGAGAGACCCCATACTCTAGAATAAAAACTAGCCAGCTACTTGGGAGGCTGAGGCCAAAGGATTGTTTAACCCCCAAGAGACTGAGTTTGCTGTGAGCTGTGACACTACAGGACTCTACCCATGGCAGAGGGAGACTCTGTCTCAAAAAAAAAAAAAAAATCTGTTGCTTAAATAGAGGGGCTAAAGGAACCATAATGCCAGTTCTCCTCTGTTATGTGTGTGGAGTAGATTTTCTACACTTTCTTTTTTTTTTGAGACAGAGCCTCAAGCTGTCACCCTGGGTAGAGTGCTATGGCTTCACTGCTCACAGCAACCTCCAACTCCTGGGCTCAAGCAAGAGTCTCCTGCCTCCGCCTCCCAAGTAGCTGGGACCACAGGCACCCGCCACAACGCCTGGCTATTTTTTGGTTGCAGCCATTATTGTAGTTTGGCGGGTCCGGGCTGGATTGGAACCCTCCACCTTAGGTGTATGTGGCTGGCGCCTTAGCCTCTTGAGCCACAGGCGCCGAGCCTTTCTATGCTTTCTAAATAGAACTTGCTTTCGCTTTACGTTGTCAAAAGCCAAGGACCCACTTGAACTTCAGGTGATTCCCAGAATTGGGAGTCACTGTCAAGTTCTAGTATGGGGGTTCATGCCTGTAATCCTAGCACTATGGGAGGCCTAGGCAAGAGGATCCCTGAGATCAGGAGTTCAAGACCATCTTGAGCAAGAGTGAGACCCCATCCCTAAGAAAAAAAACACCGCCAGAGTTCCGAGGTCCATCACCTGGGCCAGAGAGGAGGGCCAGCTGCCTGGAAGGAGAGGAGCAGAATTATTCATTTGACACAAATGTTTATCAGGTGCTTTCTTCGTGCCCACATTGGGCCATGTGGGCCAGTGCCAGTCATGTCTGTGCAGATACCTAACCTCAGACTAATCTTTCTACTTGGGCCTCCTAAATGGGGTAGGGGGTCAGAGGGTGCAGGAGGCCTTGAATCTCTGCGTGATGACCCCACCATTCAATTTCACACCCAGATCGATGTGAGACATGTTAGTCTACTCCTCACTGTATTCTTGTTCCCCCATAGCTCTTAAGTCAAGTTTATTTATTTATTGTTTGAGACAAAGTCTCACTGTCACCCAGGCTAGAGTGTCCTGGCATCTCCATAACTCACAGCAACTTCAAATTCCTGAACTCAAGTAATTCTCCTGCCTCAGCATCATGAGTAGCTGGGACTACAGGCGCCTGCCACAATGCCTGGCTACTTTTTCTATTTTTAGTAGAGACAGCGTCTCACTCTTGCTCAGGCTGATCTCTAACTTCTGAGATTAAGTAATCCACCCAGCTCGGCCTCCCAGAGTGCTAGGATTACAGGCCTGAGCCACCATGCCAGGTCTATTAATTTTATTCAAGTCTTCTATGTCACTTAAAAAGAAACCAAACTATTACCAGATTTTTGTAAAGGATACAATTCAAGATCAGCTAAAGAGGTGCTTAGGATGTGGTAAGTGGGAAGAGTTCACCACCCTGGCCACCCTCCAGAACCTCCATGAGGTCATACAGATGAACCCACAAGAGAGGTTCATGTTGCTCGCCCCACGGAAAGCCAATTACTGAGACAAAAACGATTGTCAAGGAGGAAGGATTTGTTGCTGAAGACGCGTCTGCTAGGAGGGGAAGGCAGAGACCACCTCAAATCTACCTCCCCAACCAACAGGGTCAGGGCATTTTTCTGGATGTGGAAATTAAAATAATGCCTGAGGAGAGTGAACATCATTATGTGTTTGGGGTGCACATGTGAGTGAGAATCATGCTAATACCTACATCCCATGAATAAAAGATGGTGGCTAAGTCCCTCTCAGGGCAGGAGTTTAGTACCATAATCATGGAGGGGTTAATATTGGTCATTCTTTCAGCCATGTGTGCAGGCTCACTGGTCCTTGGGCACGATCTGCAACAGCACATTGCTGGTCTTGTCTTTTCCTGGCACACAGGTGGTGTAAGGCTCTGCAGTTATCTCATAGATGTAAGGAGGTTCTGCAATTTCTAGGAAACTCAAAACAAAACGCATCAGAGGGCTCGGCGCCTATAGCTCAACCGGCTAAGGCGCCAGCCACGTACACCTAAGGTGGCGGGTTCGAATCCCCAGCCCGGACCCGCCAAACAACAATGACGGCTGCAACCAAAAAATAGCCGGGCGTTGTGGCGGGCGCCTGTGGTCCCAGCTACTTGGGAGGCGGAGGCAGGAGACTCGCTTGAGCCCAGGAGTTGGAGGTTGCTGTGAGCTGTAATGCCACGGCACTCTACCCAGGGGGACAGCTTGAGGCTCTGTCTCAAAAAAAAAAAAAAAAAATGCATCAGAGGCCAGGTGCGGTGGTTCATGCCTATAATCCCAGCACTCTGGGAGGCCAAGGATGGTGGATAGCTCGAGTTCAGGAGTCTGAGACCAGCCTGAGCCAGAGCTGGACCCTGTCTCTAAAAATAGATGGGCATTGTGGTGGGCACCTGTAGTCCTAATCACTTGAGAGGCTGAGGCAAGAGGATCACTTGAGCCCAGAAGTTAGAGGTTGCTGTGAGGTATGAC